GAGAGAGAGAGAGAGAGAGAGAGAGAGAGAGAGAAAACTTAGAAGAAGAGTAGGAAGGAGGGCTCATCTCGATGCATACGAAAGAATGTGGGAAAATCTACTTCTTTAACGGAGGAAATTTGATTACTCGGTTAAATACGTTATAATTGTTGTAAACAGAGTTATTTGTCACAGACGTTGTCGCATCTTCCATCCGCTGTAAATTTCGAGGACGTTTTTAAGCAAGAAATAATTTAAAATGATTAAAAATCGGGGTTATATTGATTATAACATATTTATTAAGGCTCCTGAGTGGTCGTCACAGTGATATTGAACTGTGACGTTAGAAGCAAAAAATGACACGTTAATTTTTGTTAATTATTTATAAATAAAGATAATTTGGATAAAACGAAATAATATCGTTTTAAAACAATTGCAAAAATGGATGAAAGCTAGTTCTTATCCCTCCCCCCCTCCGAGGCAATAAATAATCGTAAAAAGTGATAACCACAATTTCGTAAGTACAGTACACGATATTCTGAGGATATTTTGATTATTTAAAGCAAGAAATAAGTGGAAGTAGAAATATCCTGGGTATATCTTGTGACATTTTCAGAATATCCTCAAAATATCTTCCAGAATATCATGTGCTATCTGGAAGATTGCATAGCTTTTTTATATCAAGCAAATATTGTTACGATATTGACAGCTCTGATGGAGTAAGAAACGGTAAAGAAGATCTCAGAGTTTAAACCATTTCTTTTCGTTCTCGACATAAACTCTACCTCGCGGACACGTATTAATTTATTAATGCGTATACTTTAATCCTGGAAAAGGATTTGAAATGTATATAAGAGTGTTCAAGTAAGAGTACAATTAATAGATTTAAATTGCAAGGGCGCGCTAAGAAGGCTAGTCGAAAGAATTCTTTTGTAAATTATATTTATTATGTTAAACAAATGTTCACACACACATAAGACATGAATTAATGATTAATTTATACAATAATAAATTAGAGAAAGGTAACTTTGATAAATATGTTGCCATAGTACAGCGCATTCTGAGTTGGGTATCACCAAACATTTTATTATTACCTATAAGGAAATTTAAGACATTCGAGGCCTGAGCCCCAAAGCCGTATCGACCTCCTATTTTACTGTCTGGAGGCGGGTGCCATTAAATAAAAAAAGAGGCCTGAGCCCATCATCAGACCCCGAAATTATGATGTGCTCAACGCTTGAACCGTTCATCAAGCGCCATTTTATACTGGTACTTGTGGGCACCGCCTGAAACCGTTCGTCAGGCATAATTACTATGATTTGTTGCATTGAAACCCGTGTGGCTACCCAGAGCGAATCGTCAGGTAAATCCGTCCGAGTCGGATCATCGGATGCTATTGGTGGTAGCAACCCACCACCTGAGACACTTGTCAGGCAAATGGAAGATTCATTAACAGCCATAGTTACAATGTTACACAAGCTCGCTTTTTGCAACAATGAATATTAGAAGGAGAAATTATTTACCTGCTTTGTAATGAAGATCATATAAGGAAACAAGAAATTTGAATGTATCTTCTCTTAAAAAATACAAAGTCTGATTAATTCTTGGATTGTTCCACAGTATCCACAGTATTACTCGAGAGAGTTTGCATCAGATGGATATTATTATTTTCTGTCGTCAAGACGATAGACAAAAAAAAACGAATAGCGCCGCCAAGCCGATCGCGCTCTCGACCTGCGCTACAACGATGCGCGAGAGATACGAAGAAGCGCCTGCAGCGCGCGCTATTTAAAATTTGTCAACCTTACTTTTTGCTCGAACAAAGAGGAAAAAGTAATTGTTACACAAAAATTATTATGTTTAGTATCATATAATTTTATTACAGATACATTTTGTTACAGATTGGATAATTATATAAAAATATATATTACGTAATAGACAAATATTATTTCGGAAGTCGCAACGCGCTAAATCAAAATGACGAAAGTTAGCTCTTGAAAATCTTATAGTCCATGTTATTATCCTAAGTTTTTATCTCCATGTTGTTAAATGTGATGGCGGGTTTTTGGGAAAAAACTTTTCCATCTTCTCCAGTGATTTAAAGCGGTCAGACGTGTTTTGTTCCGCTTCGAATACGCAGGGGTGAGAATCGCGAAGTTTCCGAAGTAGATCGGTATACCAGGCGACTTTTTGAACTTGTCGAAGAATGTCGAGGTCCTGCCAAAGAGGCCAGCCCTCGAAAGGAGGTTCACGGGAGTTAGAACTTGTAAGGAAAAACCCTTGGACAGGACCATACTATGACTGGAAAATGTGGTCCTGCCTTACGACGCATTTCTCAAAGCGTATTCAGGGAGCAGTTACATTGTTTCTGAGAATTGTTACAATGAATTAGTGTGCACGATGAATACAAAAAGTAATTGAGCTACAAATTGTATTTATTCAAAATTTTTACGTTAAAAAAATGTAATCATATATTCAATCAAAATTTTGGATTTCTAAAAATATTTAGTTGCAAAAAGACTATGATTATTTAACGAGTATATATGTATTCATATTCATTTAAATTTGAAGTATTTGACAATACAAAATATAATCTGATAAAAAAAAACTCTAATAAGCAATTCTTACATCTTACTTATTTTCACATATATCAGTTATATTGCAAGGAATATTACTAACAAAAGACTCTTCATATTCGCGCACGCGCGCGCGTATTAGTTATGTTGTTACATTAACGGTCTTTTAAAAAATTTTAAAATTAAAAAAAGGTTTAATAATCTTATTTATAACCAGAGCTTAAAAAATAAAAAAAAACAACAAAATATTTCACATTAATTTTAATAGAAATTGCAAAAAAAAAAACATAAAATTATGTGAAATTTGAATAAAGCTAAAATATTAAATATAAACATATTTAATTAAAATATAAATAAACAAATTTACAAACAAAATTAATGCGCAATATGGAATAAACAAAATTAATGAAATTGAAATAATGTATATAATTTTGATTTGTATACATTAAGTAATTTTAAAAAGTAGTAAAAACGTTTATAAATTTGTTAAATTTTATAAAAAGGATGAAAATAAAATTATGCAATTAGAAGTCGGAGATGAAAAATGCCAAGTAGGGCAGAATTATGTATAATAATAAAATGTTGTTAAAATTAAAACAAAATTACGCCGTTTACAAGGGAGAATGAAAAATAATGGAACGGAATTCTCTTTTCGAAGTGTGGTGCACGCGTTTCGAGATTTCTCGGCGACCAGTCACGCTCATCGTTCAACCCTATCTTCCCGAGAATGATTTATCTACCCCATGAGAGGGTCAAGATGATCAATCTATATCAATCGCAACTGCGTGATAAAACCAAAAGCAATTTCTTCCGCAGAGATAACGGCTTGTCTTCT